TAGGGCCGAAAGGGGATTTAGGGCACCCCCCCCTTTCACACAAAGAAGCAGACCGATGAAAAGGTTAGTGCTCTACCCTTTCACACCACAGACAAGGGCCTGTTTTTTTGGGAGCGAGTTGGGGCGCCCCCCTCTATCACCCACAGAGCAGGGCCGATCAGGGGGTTGGGGCCCCCCCACTCTCACACTCAGGGCAGGGCCAATGGGAAGGTTATGGCTCTACCCTGTCACACACAGAGCAGGGCCTGGGGGGGGGGGGGGTTTGGGCGCTGCCCCCTGTCACACTGGTCCGGTGCCAGGAGGCCTCGCGGCTCCGCTGATCCCGGTGCTGGGAGGCATATTACCCTTTTACTATATAGGATAGAGGCCTGGGGGCCGGCTGGTTTGCCCTGAAGGGTGTCCTGGATCAGGGTGGGGGTCCCCACTCGGGTGCCTGGCCAGCCTGGATGAGGTGATGATGGCTGTTTGCAGCTGGTCACACACCCTTCAGGGTGGGGGTCCCCACTGGGGTGCCTGGCCAGTCTGGGTGAGGAGCTGAGGGCTGCTTTCAGGTTGGCAGTTGACTGAAGCTCGCAACCGCTCCTTTTTTTATTTTTTTATTTTTTATTCTGGGCCAGCTTTAGCTCTGGCTCTAGCTCTGAGGCTTCCGCTGCTGAAAGCAGGTATCTGGTTTGTTTGCGTTCTATAATCGAAACAATGTATAACTCCAGCTCTGAGATCCCGGCCAGCTGAAAGCCGGTTTCTGGGGTTTTGTTTAGCTTCTATATTTGCAACATAGTACATAGTTGCTTAGAGTTGCAGCTCAGAGGCCGGCAAGTCAGGCGGGGAACGTTGGAGTCTGCAGTCACTGGAGCAAGCAAGCCTCATGTTCGCTTCCAGCTGCCTGGCTGCCGGCCGCCATCTTGGCTGACAGTTAATTTGCATAAGGATATGCTGATTAGCCAATGGGAAGGGTAGCGGCCGTACGCTAATTACCATGTTTCTCTTTTATTAGTGTAGATATATGTGTGTGTGTGTGTGTGTGTGTGTGTGTATATATATATATATATATATATATATATATATATGAAATATGTTAATTAACCAGGACACTGTAACAGGTCAACAGGACAGGAGGAGGTTGCGCGGCGGCAGGGGTGGGGCCGCAGGGGCCTCTGGGCACCTGTGCTGGCGGAGGGCCAGATCAGCAGCGGCCCTGGTGGCTTCAAGGGCCGGAGAGGGAGACAGGGCTGGACAGGTAGCGGACAGGGCTGCTGCGGGCCCGGGGAGAGAGGCAGGGCCGGACCAGCAACTCGAGAGTGGGCAGTGCCGTGCAATTTCAAATCGCACGCTGGGCTCCTAGTTACTTTTATAAAAGGAAGTATGGAATATGGGAAATATGCCCATGTGTTTTCCTCTCATATATGCTCAGATATCAATATTTAACACCTTAAAAGCATTAACAATTTTCTCATAATTTACCAAAGTGTGTAGAACATCTATTTTAAAAGAATTAACTTTTTCCCTTGGCACAAAAGCAAACTATTCTTATTCTGAGGGGGGAAAAAGTGGTGAGTAAACTTTTTAAAAACTGTTTCTCTTTTTAAAAGGAATATATTAAACAACTCTAAATGGGGAAGAAATGACTAATGTTCAGCAAGTGCTATAGCCATTGTAAAAATTGCTCAAAAGGTAAAATTAAAGAAACTAGAAGAAACCATAGGCAGCAAAATCTCAGACATCTCTCATAGCAATATGTTTGCCAATACATCTCCTAGGGCAAGGGAAACAAAGGAAAAAATAAACAAATGGGACTACATCAAAATAAAAAGCTTCTGCACAGCAAAAGAAACCATCCATCTAATAAGGGGTTAATATCCAAAATATATAAGGAACTCATACAACTTAACAAAAGGAAGACAATCCAATTAAAAATAGGCAAAGGACCTAAATAGACATTTCTCCAAAGGACACATACAGATGGTCAAGAGACATATGAAAAAAATGCTCAAAATCACTAATCATCTGAGAGATGCAAATCTCTCTGTCAGAATGGCTACCATCAACAAATCAGCACATGAAAGTGCTGGTGAGGATGTGGAAAAAGGGAACCCTAGTACACTGTTAGTGGGAATGAAGATTGGTGCAGCCCCTATGGAAAACACTATGGAGTTTCCTCAAAAAATTGAATATGGGCCCTGGCCAGTTTGGCTCAGTGGATAGAGCGGAGGCCTGGGGACTCAGGGGTCCCAGGTTCGATTCCGGTCAAGGGCATGTACCTTGGTTGTGGGCACATCCCCAATAGGAGGATGTGATCGATGTTTCTCCCTCATCGATGTTTCTAACTCTCTCTCTCTCCCCCTTCCTCTCTGTAAAAAATCAATAAAATATATTTTTAAAAAATTGAATATGGAACTGCCATTTGACCTAGTGAGCCCACTTTGAAGAATTATATGCCTCAAACACCAATCAGAAACCTGAAACACCAATCAGAAAAAATATATGCACTTCTATGTTCATAGCAACATTATTTACAATAGCTAAGATCTGGAAACAGCCCAAGTGCCCATCAGTAGTTGAGTGGATAAAAAAGCGGTGGTACACCCTGACTGGTTTAGCTCAGTGGATGGAGCGTCGGCCTGCGGACTGAGGGGTACCAGGTTCGGTTCCCATCAAGGGCATGTGCCTAGGTTGCGGGCACATCCCCAGTAGGGGTGTGCAGGAGGCAGCTGATCAATGTTTCTCTCTCATCGATGTTTCTGACTCTCTGTCTCTCTCCTTTCTTCTCTGTAAGAAATCAATAAAATATATTAAAAAAAAAGAGAGTGATGGTACATTTACACCATGGAATACTATGCAGCAGTAAAAAAAGAAGGGTCTCTTACCCTTTGAGACAGCATGGAGGGAACTGGAGAATATTATGCTAAGTGAAATAAGCCAGTCAGAGAAAGACAAGTATCACATGGTCTCACTCAGATGTGGAATTTAATGAACAAAATAAACTGATGAACAAAATACATCCAGAGACATAGAAGCATGAAATAGACTGATGAATCTCAGAGGGAAGGCAGGCAGAAGTGAGTAGAGATTAACCAAAGAACTGATAGCATATATGCAAAACCCATGGACACAGACAATAGTGTGGTGAAGGCCTGGGGGGTGGGGGACCGGTGCAGGGTGGAGGGGGTAAATGGGAGGGGGAGGCATCTATAATACTTGCAACAATAAAGGTAATTTTTTAAAGGAGAGGTAAAACTAAAGATTAAAAGTGGCCACAGTAGTTTTAATAACTATCAATTACTTTAGTCACATAATGTTAAATAATATAAAGTCTGGAGGGTCAATTAAATCTTTCCGTTATAATCATTTTGCATAATATTGCATTATGGGAGACATTACATACTATTGTTTTATTCTTAAATACTATAGGAAAGTTGGTGTCAACAGAACCCCTTGAGAATGTAAAAAGTCTACTTACTAAATATAGTAAATATTCTATAGATTATAAAGACAGCAATACACACTGTTGTCCTCTTGCTTATTAGTTTTTATTAATAAGTAATTATTTCTCTTTCTCCCAACCTGAACCTATGCTTATTGCCAGAATTACTCTGTGTTTTACAATCCTCAGTAATTAAGGACACTTAGAAGGTGTTGATGACACTTTCTTGCCATAATTAGGTAGCCAGAGTGATGTGCGTAAGTGGAAGAGGAAATCAGGGACCTAAGAAGGGTGACAATAGAGAGCAGCTGGAGGCCAGAGCCACCTTCCCTCACACAAGAGGTAGAAGGTTCCACAAAGTTCCTGAGATAAGGTGATAACAAACAAGCTCACTTCCTTGTCCAACACCAGAAAGACAGCAGGTTGGTCATCCTGGCCAACATCTATGTTTGAAGATGCTGACATTTCACTAACTTGCCATATGGTTTCCATGAAATCTAGTCTCCTACTGCTGTCAACTCAAAACCGCTTCACTTGACCTGCAAACTCCTTTCTTCCACTAAGATCGCTTGCACACATGGCCCACAGGGGTGCTTTCACATAGACAAAGGTAACCCAAGAACCCACCCCAAAACACTGTGATAGACACCCCTATTTATAACATAATGGAAAAAATAGGTCTTTCCAGGTACCACCGGGAGAATAAAACAGCTCACTCTAGTCCCTTAGCTATAAAATGGTTATTCTCCGAATATTTCTAATACCTGCAATATATTTTAGGCACCTGAAAGAGAAGGTAAAGAACCCGTAAACACTAAGATCACAGAGACAGCAACTTAACGGTCCGCTTTTAACTCTTCTGCCAGCGTTCCCACAGAGTCCACGCCGCCTGGCTCACTCGCGCAGCCGCGCGCGGTGGGTGCGGACAGCGTGGAGAGGGCGAGAGCGGGAAGCCACTGGAAACATAAACACTGAACCGTCCCCGAAGCCTGCGCTTTGTTTTGCTCCTTCGGGTCCCCATTGACTTTCCACTTGTTTCGTTTCAATGGCTGATCCTTCTCCCCATCGGAGATCTAACTGTAAACTCCCCCCGCCTTCCAACCACACCCACAAATGCCCGAGGAACCCATCGAGTCCGCCTGTGTCTCCAGGCGCCCGCGGGGAGACGGACGCCGGCGCCCAAGTGAACCCGGCGGCACCCGGAGAACTTCTCCCGGGACAGAGGGAGGGGCGGCTGAAGTCAAGAAAAGCGGCGGACGCGCAGCAGGAAAGACGAAGGACTCCTCTCCTGCCCCCGAACGAACCGGCGCCTCGGGGAGAGACAGCGACCCCCGCCCGATCTGAGAAGCCGCCTGAGCCGACAAACGGCCGGCCCCGGAGATCAGGTCGCTAACGCCGTCTTGCACCCCTTCCATTTTGCCTGCCATAAAGAATGTCTGTCTCCTCACCCCCTTCAGAGTTCAGCACTCACCCGTCCCCGCTGAAGCGCCAGTTGCTTCTGCGTCAAGTCCTCCCACCTCAGAAAACCATAGAGACGAAGAGGCAGCCGAGACCAGCCTCCATCACCGCCCACCTCCAGGTGACTCCTCTAGCCGCTGGGCCTGTCGGGATCGTGGCGAAATGCGTGTGGGCGGGGCACGGAGGAAAGGGGTGGGGAGGCGAGGGACACGGAAACAAGCCGCCTCGGCCCCGCCCCGCCTCAGCCCCGCCCCGCCTCAGGCCCCGCCCCGCCTTGGCCCCGCCCCGCTCTCAGGCCCCGCCCCCTCAGTATTTAGGCGGGAAGGGGGCACACACACTCACACACTCACACACACACACACTCACACACACACACACACACATATACACACACACACACACTTCATAGAAATCTGAGTTGTACTGTGCCCTCTGTCACCTCGTCGGTACCGTTTGACTAAGGAAAAAGGAGTCCGTGAAAAGAAAACTGACCACAGTGAGTTGAGAATTGTTCCTTTTGAACTGCATTTAGGTTTTAGGCTTCTGGTAAAAATGTCCTCATTTCCTGACCTTGAAACTTTTTTCAGTTTAGAAACCTCATCATTTCCTCTACTGTATGGTTCTTTCAAGTGTTCTCTTTGCAAACTAATGTATTGGAGCGCTTAGTCCCTGCCCACCACCCAGGCATGTGCCCCGACTGGGAATCGAACTGTGACCTCCCGGCTCACAGGTCGACGCTCATCCACTGAGCCACGCTGGCCAGGCCCTAAGCTACTAATATGTTTTTCTCTGTTGTTGCTATGAGACGTGAGGATGGAGAGGGATCCTCTGGCTATGGAAACAGAACCAAAATATTTTTATTATGATAGGAGAGAACTTCCAAATTAAGGAATCCTGAAGAATTTCTTTAGCAGAGCTGCAGAAAAGGCTACAAGATTGGAAACAAAGGCAACAGAACTGTAATTGAGTTAAATTGTGAAGTAAGCAAAACAACTATTTTCTCCATTTCTTCTCAGAGGACCGTCCACCTCCCCCCCCCCCAATAATCAAACAAATCATTGTGTTCACTGTGCTAGCCCTTTACATCCAACCCAGTGTTTGCTTACAATTACCCTATGAATGGAGACTGTTTTTATTTCATTGCAGGTGGGGACGCAGGCTCAGACCCCAATAATGCATAAATGCTGCATGTGGCTGGGACACAGACCTGGTCCGCACCCTTAAGCAGTATTCTTTGATCTGTTATCCTCGGGATCTACCTGCCTCAGGAGTTAAAAATCTCTCCTGACTTGCTTCTTAGCTATCAAAATGTACCTTTTCTATGTGTCTTTCCACTTAGAGCCTGTTCTCTATTAAATGAGAAATCGGTTAAAGAAATCCTTCCCCATTTAGCAGTAGGCACTTGGCATGGTATCCTTCCCAGGCAGCATGCTCATTACCTGAGGATGGGAATTTCAAATGGTGTCCTAGATTACTGTGGAACACTTTGGAGACTCGTGGAACCTTAAGTAGTAGTTGAGTCAACTGTTTCTCAGAACAAGGGAAAAAGAAATGATCAATATATAAGTTTTGAAAAAAATCAATTTTTAAGAATTGGTGCAATTCAATTCTGATTTTAGGCAATATTTGTCTATATAAAACTGAATAACCATTTGAGCAAATTATTAAATAATATGTAAAAACGTAAATCTGTGGTTCTCCTACTTTTTGGTCTCAGTAGCCCTTTAAAAATTATTGAGGCCCTGGATGGTTTTGCTCGGTGGTTAGAGCATCAGCTCACAGACCAAAGGGTCGTGAGTTTAATTCCCAGTCAAGGGCACATACCTTGGTTGCAGGTTCGATCCCCAGCTCCGGTCAAGGCACGTGGGGGAGACAACCAATCGATGTGTCTCTCACGTTTCTCTCCCTCCCGACCCCCTTCACTTCCACTCTGTCTGAAAATCAATGGAAAAAATATCCTTAGATGAGGGTTAAAAAAATTATTGAGGACTACTCCAGACAACTTTTGTTTATGTGTGCTATACATATAAATACTTATTATATTAGAAATTACAACATTTTTTAATTCAATAAAATTTTATTTAGTCATTTGAAAATAATAAATACAAAAAACATATTTTTATGAATAACTATATTTAAAAATAGAAGAACATCATGGTTTTACATTCTTATAAATTTCTTTAATGTCTATTCATAGAAAACAGCTGATTCTTATATCTTTTCTTCTTAGTTTGTTTCAATATCACACATCAGGTAGCCTTGGAAAACTCCACTCTACACGCAAAGAATGGGAGTGATAAAGGCAAATAACAGCTTATTCTTAGTAGGAAAAAAGTCTTGACCGATGGATCACTGGAAAGTGTTTCAGGAACCCCCAGGAGTCCTTAGACCAAGGGTCGGCAAACCGCGGCTCGCGAGCCACATGCGGCTCTTTGGCCCCTTGAGTGTGGCTCTTCCACAAAATACCAAGTGCAGGCGTGCACGTACAGTGTGATTGAAACTTCGTGGCCCATGCGCAGAAGTCGGTTTTCCGCCTGGGCGAGTCTATTTTGAAGAAGTGGCGTTAGAAGAAGTGGGGGTACGTTCGTTGAGGTCGACCCCTCAGATTGAGGACGTTTTTAGCAAAGGCCAGCTTAGGAGTACCCTAATTAAGTTAATAACAATGTACCTACCTATATAGTTTAAATTTAAAAAATTCGGCTCTCAAAAGAAATTTCAGTCGTTGTACTGTTGCTATTTGGCTCTGTTGACTAATGAGTTTGCCGACCACTGCCTTAGACCACACGTTAAGAGCCACTGCCTTAAACCATACAAACATTACTTACTATGGGATTCTTTGTCTAACCATTTTGGCATCAAGTAGAGCATTTAGTAGAAAGTGGAGCAAGACAGAGACAATTTACATACTAGACCAATCTTATAAATATGAGTGAGTATTTTTTATTTTTCAGGAGCATAGAGTAAGTTAGCAGAATTCAGGGTCATAACTGAACACATCTACATTCTGCATTAGAAATCAGTCCACCAATTCAATTATGTTTGTCTTTCAGGCTGCTGTACAAGGTGGGTCCTGTCACATGAATATATAATAACACTAAAGTGGGTTTATATCCCCTGTAAAATATTAAAACTCCAAATTAAATTTGAAGTAAAAATTCTTTTCATAAGTATGAATGTATTCAGTGCTCACTATATGCAAGGCTCATAATAGGTGCTGGGCTTATAAAAATTTATAAGCACAGTTCCTGCCCTTGAGCAACTTATATATGTAAAGAGACTTACACTCTGGTATAAATGTATTTTTTGCCATGTTCAATAATTCCCAAATTAGTTTGATTCTCCAATGTCTCAGAATTACCTGGGAGATGGAAAAAATACAGATCTCTGGACCATGAGATATGCTGTTTAAGTGGACCGGGGTGGTGCTCAGACATTTGGATTTTTAAAAGTGATCCAGGTGATTCCCATGTAATGATAGGTTTGGGGATGAATACTAACCACATGGAACAAAGAAATGGATTTGGTCTTTGCTCATAGTACTATTACACATAAAACATGATTTCTTTATTTCATCTTGAGTATTTCAAAGATATATCATTGTTGGAAAATCTGTGTTATCAGGAGAAAGAGTGCATAGTTAATTTCATTCAGCTAAAATAGAAACTGGTGTTTGTATTTCAAACATTTTATAGTTCATCTGCCTTTATCACATTAAAAAAAATAATGCAAGATGTTACCACAGCAGTTTCTAATACACTACACTACTGGAAAAAGCAAAACATCTTTTTCAACAAGCATTGACTGCAAGAGTGTTATTTTATAGAGCTTTGATTCAATTTCTTTAAAATGAATTCAATGAGATGCTCTGTGTTTCATTACATTTATCTTCAGGGTTCCACAGATTATGTTATAGTATTTCAAAACCTATGGAGTCTTCCATTACAAATTTCTTTGGAGGATATGTTATATGAGGAGTAGCAACCTAGAGACTTATGATCCAGTGATATTGCAGAGGTTGTTCTTTGCTAATAATTGTAGACATTGTTTTTTAAAATATATTTTTATTTATTTCAGTGAGGAAGGGAGAGGGAGAGAGAGATAGAAATGTCAATGATGAGAGAATCATTGATCAGCTGCCTCCTGGATGCTCCACACTGGGGATTGAGCCTGCAACCTGGACATGTACCCTGACCAGGAATCAAACTGTGACCTCCTGGTTCATAGGTTGATGCTCAACCACTGAGCCATGCCGGCTGGGCAATTGTAGCCATTATTAATTATATTCAAGTAAATAAGAAAAAAAAGCTTAACATTTCCTTCTCTCTTACCATAAGGGGATAAATGGAACTAGCTAAATCAGCCATAAATATGATGATTTTTAAAAATTCGTGTATATTTCTCTTGATTTTTGTATTGAAAGCACCTTCAAAATTAAAGATTCCCTGCCCAGATCTTGGATGCATGGAACAGACTGATGAGTTTCAGAGGGAAGTGGGGAGAGGGGTGGTGGGAAGAGATTAACCAAAGAACTTATATGCATAACCAATGGACTCTGACAATAATGCAGTGAAGGCCTGGGGAGTGGGGAGAGTGCAGGGTGGAGGGGGTCAATGGTGGTTTTGAAAAAAGAAGACATCTGTAATACTTTCAGCAATAAAGACAAATTAAAAAAACAAAAAAGACTCCCTGCCCAGATCTAAATACTTTTCCCCATGAAAGGAATCTGAGATTATTGGAGAAACAGCTGATTTCAAGACTAGGGTAGGAAGATACAAGATGACCTAACATCACTTGAATCTAACATGAAGAAATATCAACCAAACCCACATTGAGAACATTCTATTATGCTGGAAACCAAGATCAACAGTAATTAATATAAATGTGAGAAGTCCACCAGAACGCTGAATTTGGGCTTTGATATTCACAGGGTGAATTTGCATTTTATTACCTACTGCTGACTCAGTGGCTAAAGCAAACCCCCCAAACCTGATAATCTTACTGTTTATTAAACATTACCATTGATATGTCTGTTTGCATTCCTAAAAGTCAATTGTGTATTCTAGTAAATAAAAGCAGACTGAACGGAGACTCAGTGGAACTTGACTACTACAGTCGAGTCTTCCCCTGGCTTTCCCC